GCGGTAGGCGAGAAGTCATTTCATCAAATGCATTAGACTGCCTCGAGCTTGTTTGTCTATAAAGTTACAGCTAAACTCATGTCCATATGAACCGCTTGACTTGTTTTGCAGGGACCGAAGACTGTGCAATTTAGGATTAAAAAACTTCTATGTTAAAGGAAATAACAATGCAGGTAATTTAATACTGTATTCATTTGTCTATAACTTGTTATAATGATGTGTGAATTTCTTAGCATGTATATGAGGTATAATTCTGTAATTATAACTAGTCCTTATTATCTTGGTTCTAGTTTCCGAGTCAAAACCATTCTTGTATTTATCTATAGCTGTTGGTTGAATAGCCTGTTTGTTTGTTTGTTTGTGTGTGTGTGTGTGTGAGAGAGAGATTCCTTTTTGAATGGTTGCTATTAAATAAGAGTACCTTAGAATTTAAACTGTTGAAAAGTAGGGGAATGTATTGTGTCCTATTCAAAATGTTACGGTATAGGTAATGATTCTGATGACATTTCAAATAAACAAGTCTTTTGCATGAAGTAAAGGGTTAACTTTCCCATTTTAACAAGTAGAATTTGGCCTGTACATTAAGCCTAACCTAATGAACTGGAAACTTCCTTGGTCTCTCTGACGTCCCCAACTGGACTCCATTTTTTTCCTTTCCACATAGATCCTGTATGTTTCTAGACACTGAGAAAACTGCCAATGGGTTGACAGAAGTAAACCTCGTCATAGTTACCCTTGAAAAATTTTCAACTTAGAGCAGTGGTTCCCAACCTTCCTGATGCCGCGACCCTTTAATACAGTTCCTCGTGTTGTGGTGACTCCCCCAACCATAAAATGATTTTCATTGCTACTTCATAACTGTAATTTTGCTACTGTTATGAATCTGGTGGCCCCTGTGAAAGGGCCGTTCGTTCAACACCCCCCCCCCAGGGGTCACGACCCACAGATTGAGAATCACTGACTTAGAGATATTATACACACATACACACCACGCATAAGAAATTATGAATGCCATGAGAGTAAGAAAAAATTTAAAGCAGATTCATATTTCCAACTCTTCTCCTGCTTTTCTTCACTCTTCTTTTTTTCCTGAGCTTTTCACAAGTCCAGTGAATGAAACAGTAAGTTAAGTTCCCTTCATTATTTAAATAGATACTGTATATACTCAAGTATATCAGCCGAGGCACCTAATTTTACACAAAAACTGTATTACACATGTGCTGAAAACTCGGCTTATACATGAGTATGTACAGCATATTTTCCCTTTAATCTCATAGGACTTTGTCAGTCTCCCATTTTCCCCATTGCCTGTGATCAGTGAATTGTAATATGTAATGTAACTTAGGTATGTTAAAATTCAAATAGTGTTTATCAGACATTTTAGGCAAAAGAGAATTTGAATTTGCATTTGTCGATTTGTAGTATTTATTATCAGGTAACCATACAGTTAAAGTAAAATTTATTTTTGTTAGGATAAAAGCTTTGTATATTTTCTTTTAAAAACTAGGATGAAGGAATCTGAAATGCTCTTCCAACTCAGTGGATTTTGAACTTTTTAAAGCAGACCCCTTCGTTAAATCAACCCTTAAGCAGCATCCCAATATCTGAATCTGTTTGTGGCTGAAGTGTCTGTGAGAGGTTGATGACATTCCTTTCTAATTAATAATTTCTCAAATAACTACATGCATCATCATTTTTAGTCCGCTAATGTAGCTCAGTCCTCATGTAGCTGAGTTACCCGTGGCGACCCTACCGTGGAAACAAAGACCTTGTCTGCCCTGGTCCTTCTCACCTCCTCCTCTGTACACTGCACAGTGCTGACACAGAGCACGTACTCCACAATCTAAGTAAGAGCAGCTGGGTGGTCCTTCTCACCTCCTCCTCTGTGCAGGGCACAGTGCTGACACAGCACGCACTCAACAATCTAAGTAAGAGCAGCTGGGTGGATGGAAGGCAGAGCAGAAACTAGACGTTGTTTTTGGTTCTTAAGTTGGCTATTGTCGCTAGTCCATGTTACCATCAAGTTCTCGTATTAATCATAATCTGCACACCTCTTTTTGGAGGGTCAGAACTCCATATCTCAGGTTCCATTTATTTAAAATTAGAATGATAAGACATGCCTTCAAATTTCCTTTAAAACTTGGCTAATAAATGCTTTCTGTAGGTGATCAGGATACAGAAGAAGAAGATGGTCATTCTCATGGCAATGCAGCATCACTTGACAGCAACAATGTAGACCTCGATGAAAGTGAACTTGATTCTGAGGCTGAACTCATGAAAAGTATGGGACTACCACTTCAATTCGGTGGAGTGTCTGCACATAAGAATTTTGAGGTAAATATTTGTTATTTTTCTTCAGTTTTATTATAATTCACATCATACAACCCAATCAATCAGTCATGTCTAGAAGAATTGTACAATCGTTACCGCAATCGATTTCAGAACATTTTCACTGTTCCCCCATGCCTAATCACCTTTAAAATGAGTTTTGTAATCACATTCAGTTCTAGTGCTCCCGCCACTTCCTGCCTTCACTGTTGCTCCCGAAATCCCTCCCTCTCCCCATCTCCCACCCACCACCCTACATCCCCGACAACAAATTCTTGCATCGGGTATCATCTCCGTGCATCCACTCCTTCTGTGTTTTCTAAACTGTTAAACCCAACAGAAACAATCAAGAACAAAAACAAAACGCAAAGGTAAAGGTAAAACAATACTGATATAAAGATTAAAAGTACCACAATAAGCAGAAGAGAAATTTTTTAAAAACTCTTAGTATACTTCCTGGATTAGATCATTCAACCTCTTCACATGTATAAATTTATAAATTAACCACAGTTTGTAAGTCCTGCTTCATGTGTCCCTGTTTTCTCTTGGGAATGTAGACAGTGAAATATGTGGGAGCTTCAAAAAGTTCATGGAAAAACCTCATCACCATTTCGTTCCATTTTTCTAAGAACTTTTTGAAGCCCCTTCATAAGCTTGTTTGTAACTAAAACCCTAGGGTGGGGTCTGAAAATATTTTGTTTATTTTAATGTCAAAGTAGATTTGTATTATACTTCGTCTTCTAGTTTGAAAAGTGCATTTTATGTTCAACCTGTCATTTGTCTGATACAGGTGTCTATGAATGCTAGAAATAAAGTTAAAAGAAAAAAGAAAAAGAAAAAACATCAAAAGAAGGACTTAGATGAAATTGTGAGAGAATCGTGCAGAAATGAGTATGATGAAGATGACAATTTGGCCCCAGAGAGTCCATCCTCATTAGGACAGTGCGAGGACATGAGAACATGTGAACTTCAAGGCAAGAATGACATTGAAACTGAACATCTTCCTAATGAAAATGCATCATCTCCAAAGCTGGACATTGCAGAGAAATGGGAAAAGTACTGGAACGAGTATGGAGAAGGGCTGTTATGGCAAAGTTGGCAAGAAAAGCATTCATCTCAAACACTATCTTCTGAACCTTGGAAATGTCCAGATACAAAAGCAGAATGGGAGCAACATTATAGTCAACTCTATTGGTATTATTTGGAGCAATTTCAGTATTGGGTTGCACAGGGGTGGACTTTCGATGCTTCCCAAAACTGTGATACAGTTACTCCTGAATCTAAAACCAAAGGTCACGAGAACGAAGATGAAAATTGCACAGAGGTGGACGTGATGTTTCCATCTTTATCTCGTACAATTAGTAATGAAAGCTCTAGTTCAAGTGATGATGAGCAAGACGAAATACTTGATGGAATGAGTAATATAACTCTAAATTCTGAAGAAGTAAAACAAAGCCAGCTGGAGTGTTCGGTAAATGTTGGTGGTCAGCAGCAGCTAATTGACGATAATAGGAGACGAGAATGCCCTGCTTCCAGCCAAAGTGAGCCGTGTAAGGGTGGAACTCAGAAAGGCAACGAGTCTAATAATGGACACCCTAACTCACCAGCTCAGGGTAAGACCAGTCACACTTGCTAAGTTGGATAATGGATAGTAAAATGAAAAATGGATAGCAAAGTAACTAATAATCCTTTATGCTACATTTAAATAATAACTGTTTATAATGTACTGAAATGTTATAATACATCTTAATTTCAGATCAAGCTTATTCTTATGTTAACAAAAAGAATGTTTGCATAGAATTCTCAGGGTTATCATGGCTTTCTTACACTTTGGTGTTTAGAAATTCCTTGAGAAATCTAATTTACAGTGATTTTGGAACTTCCCAGGGTTCTCCAAGGCATGAAGTTTATAAGAAGCAGAATTAGAGTGGTTGGAAACCTAAGTTTGCGGCGAGCCAGGCATCATTGTGAGTCATGTAGAATTTATTCGTTCATGGAATTCTGACTAAGAGGATTTTAGTTAAGTCTCATCAATAAAGTATGCAGGATAAGACGCTTACTTGGTTCCTGAATAGTAGTTTATTAAAACCTCGCTGTGTAGGATGGTACCGTTAGTGGGCGTAATAGCAGCAGTGAGACTGGCGGGATGAGCCTCCTCTCGCTTGGTGCGGACTCGTGGCACCAGGATACTAGAGAGAAGGAACCGATTATAACGTGGGCATTGTGAACCCAGTGATGATAGATGGCAGCTTGGCATCCTTGATGCTGGAAAGTGGCATTTACAGACTGTCTTCTCGGCCTTATTTCTAGGTAAACAAAAGCTTTGGACCTTTTGCTTATTAAGTTGATTTACTCTGCTCATCTAAGATGGCAGATCTTCGTCTAGGTGAAAATTCCCTTAAGAGAGAGTTATTTTATTGCTTTTTATTACTCCATATAATTAAAGACTTTAAGTTTTGATTTGTTTAGAACCTTCTTAAGGTCAAAATACAAGGTATATATTGCAGTTCTAAATGAATGTTTTCTATTGTTTGGAGTTTGGGTATTTTACCCAAATCATCAAAGCTTACTACTGTGTACTTTGCAGACACATTGCTACTTTTAGTCCCATCCTCCCACCCCTCACTTCATTCCACTCAAAAAATACAGCACACGCCGATAGGGTCAATTAAGTATATATGTTCCTAATTTTTAAAAAAAATTGTGATCGTGCTGTCCTTGGAGACATTTAGATTACAATTTCATGAGTGCTTTATCATAAAGATAACATTGTGGGTTAATTTAGGTAACATTTCAACAGCTATGAAGTAATTTTATTTGGCATTTTAATAATTAGATCATGGAGCCTTGTAAGACTTAGTAGACATGGTGATACCTTGTTTTTAATCCTCAGACTTTGCACATAGACACACAGAATAGATGTGATGTGGCACTATACATGGTATGACTGTATAGTTTATTGCAGCAGAGGCAATGAAATATTTTGATCTCTTTTAATAATGACAGAAGAGTTGTTAAACTTATAATACCCAAACTCACTGCCATCAAATAGATGCCAGCACATAGCGACCCTATAGGACAGGGTGGAGCGGCCTCTGAGTTTCCAAGGTCGTAACTGTTTACCAGAGTAGGAAGTCCCCTCTTCCTCCCTAGGAGCAGCTTATGCTTTCAAACTGTTGCCCATGTGATTAGCTACCCAATGCTTCACCACTACGCCACAGAACACCCTAAACCTAAGATAAGGGGACATCATCACAGCCTATCTCTTCCTCTCTAGATTCGCAGGGGTCTTCAGGAACAAGCACAAGCAAAGAGAAACCACACACCAGTGGTACTGATGGAGACGAGAGTGAAGAAGATCCACCTGAATGTAAACCAACCAAGCTCAAGAGGAGGCAAGTTACACACCAGTTCCTTTCCTAAATGTGTTCATCTAAGTGTTTGTACCCAAGTATGTGATGATAAAGTGCCTGGTCTGCGTGCAGCACTGCTAATCCATGTGGAAAAGAGATAATTTACACTGGCAAGGCCTAAACATTCTCATCTATAAAATGGGACTGCTGCCCTTTTGAGGGAGATGATTGGAAGGCGTGCTACTAGACCATAGGATTTATCTGACACTCCGTAAATAAATGATACAAAGGTTGATACAATCTCTCTCAAGGAACTTTGTCCCTGCCCACCCCAAAAGCCTCAGCCTAATCACAGAATTTTTCCATGAAATAGACTTCAGATGTAACAAATGTAATGCTCTCCTTGTATTTGTAGGACACTAAAGAAAGCAAGGTAAGGACCTCACGAAAAGTTACGTACAACAATAGAGTGGGAGCTGTAAGGCTAAGACCAACTGCTTTTCTCAGCAGTAATCTCGTTATTATACTCTTGATGTGTGTGATGAAGCCAGTAGAGAATAACCTAAGGTAGTGATTGTTACAGGTGCCATCCGGCTCCAGCTCATAGCGACCCTTATGTACAACACAACAGCCCAATCCTGCGCCATCCACACAATTGTTCTTAGGTTTGAGCCTGTTTTTGCAGGCACTGTGTCACAATCCATCTTGTCGAGGACCTTCAAGTCTTGAGGACCGCTGGGTAGTCCTCTGTAGAGCAATTCAGGTTATCCGGGCACAGGCAGCAAACAGCAAGGCAGGTCACCAACAGTCAGCCAGATGACAGGGTCCGACAGTCCCCAGCTCAAGAGATGTAAATTCCAGTGGTGTGGCGAAGCAGATCTTGAAGGAACGTCAAAGGACAGTGACAGTCCACGGGCTAGGTGTCCCACAGGTAGTGTAGCTTGCAAATTGAGGCAAAGAACAAGCAAGGCAGCCACACACTGGTCTGATGATCAAATAGCAAGAGACCCAAGAACTAGAAAGGTGAGGCTCACTGAGCCATTTATCCCTCCGCCCTTCAATTAACCCAGCATGTGTTTATCGGCCAGGTTGGCACAATAAACTAACTACCTCATCTCCCTGTTTTTGCCCCTAAAAGAGCATTCAGGCCACACTTCTTCCAAGATCTGTTTGCTGTTTTGGCAGTCCATGCTGCTTTCAGTATTCTTCTCAAGCACCGCAATTCAAATGCATCATTTCTTCTTTGATCTTCCTTATCTTTCACATACACGAGCATTGTTGTGGGTCTAAGCAAGATGAAATCCTTGACAACTTCAAACTTTTCTCCATTTATCATGATGTTGCCTAGTGGTCCAAATGTGAGGATTTTGGTCTCCTTTGTATTGAGTCCTAAGCCACAGTGAAGGCTGCAATCCTTGATCTTCATCTGCAAGTACATCAGGTCGTCCTTACTTTCAGCAGGCAAGGTTATGTCATGTGCTATCACATGTTGCTACTGTGCCTTCCTCCAATCCAAGAGTGTAATAATTCTTCATGTAATCTAGCATCTCTGTTGATTTGCTCAGCATACAGATTGAAAAAGTATGGTGAGGGGATACAACCCCAATACACACCCTTCCTGGCTTTAAACCATGCAGTGTCCTCTTATTCTGCTCACAAAACTACCTCTTGGTCTATGTACAGTTTCTCCATGAGCACAACTGTATGTTCTGAAATTCCAGTTGCCAAGGCTATCCATAGTTTGTTACAATCCACACATGGACTTTGCATAGTCATATGATCTCTATATTGGCATAGTCAGTGAAACACATCTTTCTTTTATTCTCTACTTTCAGCCAAGATCCATCTGACATCAACAATTAAATCACGTCCTCTTTTGAATCTGTCTTGAACCTCTGAGAGCTCCCTATAAGTGTACTGCTGCAAGTGTTGTTGAATGATCTTCAGCAAAATATTACTTGCATGTGATATTACATTGTTCTATAATTTGATCATTCTGTTGGGTCACTTTTCTTTGGAATGACTGCAAATATGGAGCTCTTCCAATTAGTTGGCCAAGTAGCTATCTTCCAAATTTCCTGGCACAGATGAATGAGTGCTTCCAGTGCTTTATCAGCTTGTTGAAACATTTCAGTTGGTAATATATTGATTCCTGATACCTTAATATTGACTAATGCTTTCAGTGCAACTTGGCCTTCTTCCTTCATTGGTTCTTGTTCATATGCTACCTCTTCAAATGGTGGAATGTTGACTAGTTATTTTTGTTAGAGTAACTCTATGTATTCTCCTGTATCATTCAATATTTTGCCATAAACTATTTCAATTCAAGACTTGAAATTTTCTTAAGTTTTTTCAACTTAAGATATGCTAAATGTCTTTGTGGTTTGCTAACTCTAGGTCTTTGCACATGCCATTAAAATATTTTGTCTTTTCGAGCTGCCCTTTGAAATTTTGTTTAGCTCTTTGAATTCATTTCTTCCATTTGCCTTAGCTGCTCTATGATTAAGATCAAGTTTCAGAGTCTCTTCTGATATCCACTTTGATCTTTTCTTTTTTTCTTGTCTCTTTAATAACCTTTGCTTTCTTCAGATAACATGTATTGATGTCCTCCCACGGCTCATTTGGTCTTCTGTCATTAGTGTTCAGTCTTGAGGTGCTCTGGATTATCGATTGGTATATACTCAAGGTAGTATTTTTGGCTCTCTTGGACTTGTTTTTGACCTAGAGATGTCTATGTGGTATTGAAAAATGGTAAATTCTGTCATGTGATCTCCAGGTTCATTTTTGCACCAAGAACAAAGTTTCCAACTATAATTCTTTCCTCTTTCTTTCCCACTTTTGCATTCCAATCACCAATAATTATCACCGTATCTTGATTGCATGGGTGATGAAATTCAGACTGAAGATGTTGGAAAAATTCCCAGCCTTGTCCAGTTTTAGTCCATATGTCCAATATTAGCTCACATGTGCGATACCAGTCTATAAATTCCTCTTCCGACTCATACAACACATACAATGATGCCGAATGCAGGAAAGTCACAGGCCGATGGGTGGAAAGCCTTATGAATCCAGTGGCAGTGGGAGCATCTCAGTGCTAGTGTGGAGCTCCTCCAGCTCCAGGGCTCTGACTCCATCAGTGTAGCTCCATCTGGCTTGCCAACAGAAATATCTCGAAGCAGACAGTGAGGGTCTGTCCTCCAGTGACCTTTTTATCTCTGTGGTACCTCCAAATGAGGTCATCAAGCTGTGACCTGATTGACAGGCCAAACTCCACCCCTTCACTCCCAACAACCTCAAGTTGACACCAGATTATGTAACCACCACTGTTGTATTGACTCTATTTCCTTGTGATGTTATCCTATCACAGACAGCATTGTACATCAAGATCTTGAAATGTCCTTTTTGGCTATAAATGCAAAGCCATTCCTCTTGATTGTGTTATTTTCAGCATAGTAAACCATATGATATTCTGATTCAAAATGTCCAATACCAGTTCATTTCAATTATCTAACACCTAGAATATCGGTAGTTATGTGTTCCATTTCATTTTGTTGACACCCAGTTGTCCTAGGTTAATACTTCGTGCATTCCAGGTTCCAACTATTAGGCAATGTTTGCAGCTAAATCTTCTCTTTTTGATTGTGACCTATCAGCAAGTGAGGGTCCCGAAGGGGTCACTCCCACAGACTGTATTCCATTTGCATCATTAAAGTTGACTCTTCTTTGAGAAGGCACCTCTTCCCCGGTCATATTTAGAGTGCTTTCTGACTGAGAGGCTCATCTACTGGCACTATCTCTGACAGCGTGCTGCTTCTAGCCATGAGGTTTTCAGTAACTGGCAATGTTTTGATATTCTTCCTAGTGTTTTGGTTTTTCGGTGACTAACCCATCCGGAAATGGACAGCCTATTCCTTCTTTGTAGTTTGTTCTCAGTCTGAAAGCTCTGCTGAAACCAGTTCACCTTGGGTGACCGTGCTGACATTTGAAATACCAATTACAGAGTGTCCAGCATTGAGCAACGTACAAGTCACCACAATATCATGAGTCTTAGACTCTAAGGTTGGATATGGTCAAATGCTAATAATCACTATAAGTCAGTGGTTCTCAACCTGTGGGTCGCGGCCCCTTTGGAGGTCAACGACCCTTTCACAGGAGTTGCCCGATTCATAACAATAGCAAAATTTCAGTTACGAAGTAGCAACGAAAATAATTTTATGGTTGGGGGTTCACCACAACATGAGAAACTGTATTAAAGGGTCATGGCATTAGGGAGGTTGAGAACTACTGCTATAGTACTCAAGGAATGGATGAATCATTATGTCATTTGGAAGATAGTTAGAAACACTTAGCTGGCAGGTATGAAGTGTTCCACATAAGATTTCATGCTCAAGACCCTAGAAGAGCTGAGAGCAGAACTCAGGAACACCGTATGTAAAACACTTGCTTCTGGTGTTCCCTCAACCTATTGGACATGACTTATTAGCTCCCTGATACGTCCTCCCAGATCTTGGCGTGCGGAGACAGACCATTTGTGTAATTATTATTTCTGAAATCTTCCTAGAAGGTAATGACAAATGTTCAGTGAATTTAACTTAATTAGAAGGACTAACTTTGTAAATACATTTGTAATGTATGTCACCACTTCTTGTGTGTAGTACTGTGGCTTATTCCATTAGGGTTCTAAAAGCCCCTCTGGTATACGAAAGCGTCTGCATTTTTTAATATTCCTTGTAGCACAGCCTGGTTCTTCTGAAAATAGTTTTTTTTGCTGTTTGTTTATTTTGGTTGCGTTGAAAAGTTTCCACATGTTTTCCTTCCAGGGAAATTACACTGGGAGAGAAATGTAAGACTGCGGCTTGTACTGGTGATTTCCCAAAAGAAAATGGGAAGATTCATACTAGAATGTAGCAGTGGGAATAACTGCAGGAAATACCTTAAGATGGAGCGCTTACTGTTACGTTTCAAATACTGTCAGATGATTTTTCGCATTTGGAAAATCCTGATGAAGATAGTCCTTTTTGCTATGTTTCTAGATTTATGGACGGTAGTTAAAATTGTGGTGGGTTAAGTTTGCATAGGTTGGTTATATTTACCTATTGATATTTGCCTGTACTAGTGGGCTGTGGAGGCCGGCTTATCGCTGTTTACCTTCTGCTTGTTTGTTTGTTTAGCCATGAATTGGACATCGATGAAAACCCACATTCAGACTTACATGAAAATGGTTGTCTTCTAGGATTCCAGCATGGCTCCGGACAAAAGTAATTATTCCAAAATGCTACTACTGTCTTAATGAAGTCTTATCTGGTATTCAGATGACATTGGGGATTTTATAATTGAAACATGAACTTCTATTAGTAGAATTGTAGAAATCTAACCCTACATTGGTGATATATGAACTCAGTTGATCTTCATAGCAATCTATTGTTTTTATTCCCCTTTTATAGATAAGCAACGTAATTCACAGAAATTTTTCCCTTGGTCAATATCATATCCTTAATTGGAGAAGAGAATGTAGCCCAGGTCTGTTAACTTCTAACTGCAGTTCTCATTTTACATCGTGTCTCACAGGAATTTGGTGCACCTGTCATGGAAAGTTCAAATCTGTAATAACCTTTGGTTGTTTTTATTATGAAATTAGTAAAACTCAAACAAAGGTAATTATGTGTGAAAATCTCTCCTTCACACTATTTCACCAGAGGCAGACAGCGCTAATTTGGCACATGTATTTGTGTGTGTGTTTTATGATTATGTATACTATGTTATGCACATGACTCCAGTTTTTTTAAAGCACTTGAATAGTAAAATCATAGTATACATAATCTGCAGCTAGCTTTTTTTTTTCTATTCTATTATGTACCATGGATATTCAGCAGTAAAGAGAACATTTACCTAATCTTAATGATAAGAAGCACAGTATTTAATTCACCATTTAGGTTGTATGAGAATCTAGGCTATTTCCCATTTGGGGCTATTACAGATAATAGTGATATTACAAATAGACAGAATATCTAAGTTCAATGCCCTTAAGGTCCATCCAGGTTATAGCATGTACTAATAGTTCATTCCTTCTTATTGCTATGTAGTTGTACACATTGTATAGATGTAGCAAAATGGGTTTGACTGTTCATCAAGGACATGGGGGTTGTTTCTACATTTTGTTTTTCATGTGTGTGTGTGTTTTTTTGTTTGTTTCTACATTTTCACTATTACACAAATAAAGCTATTGTGAACATTAGTCTCATAGCCGCCCTATAGGACAGACTAGATCTGCCCGTGTGAGTTGCTGAACCTATGAGTCTTAATGGGAGTAAAAAACCTTGTCTACCTCCTGCAGAGCCGCTGGTGGTTTTGAACTGCTGACTCTGCAGTTAGCAGCTCAATGTGTAACCCACCAAACCTTCAGAATCAATTTGATGTCGGTGCCTTTTTTTTTTTAAATGAACATTTGTATATAAGCTTTTGTGTAGAGATAAGGAAAGCATGAAAAGAGAATCAGATGAGGGCCAGTTAAAAAGTATTGTTGCTAAAGTTCCAGTTCCTGTATGTGTAGGTTTATTACAAAGAAAATATGCTTAAACATGTTTCTGCATTCAGGTGGTGGTTGCAAACAAATTCAGTGATACATTTGTCTTGGCACCTTAGGTAATAAAGGAATCAGCACACTTTAGCCACTTGAGTCCAGCCAAAGGTGCCTCAGAAGAAAGGCCTGAGATCCACCAGGAAATGTCCAAAATGCACGCATCCACTTAGTCTATGCAGAGACAAGCTGTGTTTAAGCATGCCCCTGCAATCAGTGGGGAGCTGAGTACAAATTCTCTTTAATACACTTCTTATAGTCTTGTTGTGGTGTCTTTGGGGTTGGGGGGATTTTTTTTTTTTTTTTGAGCCACATAAATAATTTTGAAATTGCAGCTTATAACAAATTTTTAGCAAAACTCAAGTGGCAATCTTGCTAAATCATTGAAACTCTGCAACAAGAATACAGGAATGCTACCCCCCACAAAACAACAGGTTTTTCAATTGACTTAATGTTTCAAGGAAGATTGGGAAGACCTCAAAGATGATGTGAAAGAGGGAAGGCCATCAATTATAATAAATGAGGAAACTGGCTAACATCTAAAGGCTATTAAGTCAAAAACACAATTAGCATTGATATAATTGCTTCTGAAATTGGGATCGCATGTGGTTTGTCATTTTGAATTGTAAGTGAACATCTTGGCCTCAGCAAGCTTTCAGCTTCATGGATGTTACAAGCCTTGTACAGAGATGAGCTAACTCAATAAGTTAATCTTTCCGTCTGTCTTTGAAGCAAGATGAAAGCCAATAAACACTATTTTATGAAATGAATTGTAATCAGGATGAGTCTTACATTGACTAATACAATTCAGAGAGCACTAGTGATCCAGTTAAGCCAGGGTGCTCTGGAAGGTATCTGCTGGGCCTATTACATTCAAAGCAGAGGGGTCAGTGCAGAAGTTTATGGTGGCTGATGTTTAGGGTCCTAAAAGAATAGCCTTGATAAACCTCCAGAAGACAAAGATGATCACGGAGGATCCTTTTCTGAAAGGAAGTTTTTAAAGACTTGAAAATGGCACTGATGAGAAAAGGGCCAGGAAGGTGGGATTTTTTTCTAACACGACAATGTACCGCTCACTTTTTGAGGGCAGCAAAGCTATCCAATGAGAATCTTTTTATGAAACCTTAACCCATCACCCACACACCTGATCTTGTCCCGTTAATTTTTCTTTTGGGTCCCCAATCTTAGAGTATTAAACTGAATTTGTATTCCTATTAGATGCCAACAGTGCTGTTTAGATATGGGGTAAATCAAAGACTGCAGATTTCTAAAGCAAAGGGTTAAAGAACTAGAAACACTACTTTCCAAAGACCTAGATGGAAGATATGAGGGAAACGGTGGCTTCATATTTTGACATCTTCGTTTAATAAAGGTTTCTATGATTTTTAGCAATTCATTTTGACTCACTTTTGTATAAGAACATCTGAACATTGTTGGACATGACAAGAGTATGCTGAACAACTGAGGCATGCTAAAGACCTACAATTTATGCTTGTAATAACACTTTAAACCAACACTTGGATCTTTGATGCTTCTAGGAGTTAAAACTTCAGGTCTAATGTAAGTTGTGAAATTCAGATACTTACACATTATGAAGTGAACAAGAAAAGGGTACAAGGCACTATCTTAAAGTTCACTTGTAAATTAAATCCAAATCAGCTCAGAAATACATGCTGATAATTAACAATACTAGAACAAGTTTTGAAAATTATTTTATTTAAAAAAATTATTTTATTTTCCTTCTGTTCCTTCAAAGCAGTTGTTAATATGATCGTCTGTTCATATGATCGTGGAGATCTAAAGTTTAGTAATAAAGTACTTTGTAGTTGGTAAATATTCAATGTTCTCAATCAGGTAAGGCTTGACAGTAAATAGTCTTCAGGATTATAAAATTCCACAGTTAGATCATAGGCTTTCTGAGTGGCACAGTTTGCACTCATCTGCTACTGTCCTAAAGATTACCGGTTCAAATCCACACCACAGAAGAAAAACCTGTCTTCTATTAATAATACAATGGAGCAATTCCAGTTTGTAATACGTAGGGCTAACCCCTGTCATTAGTCAGGGGGTTTTATATAATTTCTACATTCTGCTCTATGTTAGATATGTTGATATTCCCAACTTTGATTTTTCACATTTGCTGTAGAATTAACATATAAATTAGACCTTAAACTACATTTTTTAACTTTATTTAATGATTTTTATAATTTTAAATGGAATTAAAGTGATAGCTCCTTTTAAAAAAACAGCCTCTTGATAATGGTTGGGTCAGTCCCTATAAAACTTTTCTGATAAAGAAACTGACTTCTTTGTCCTAGATATGGTGAGATTTCAGATTTTAGTCATCGAAAGGTCAAATATCTGGAGAAGAATGTGAAGTATAAGTCCAAGTTCCTGGACATGCGAAGACAAATAAATATGAAAAACAAACAAATCTTTACCAAAGAATTTTGCAAGAAGAGCAAAACTTTGAGTAAGGTATGTATAAATTTTGCTTTACTTTTTTTTAAATCATTTTATTAGGGGCTCATACAACTCTTATAACAATCCATACACACGTCAGTTGTGTAAAGCGCATTTGTACATTCATTGCCCTCATCATTCTCAAAACATTTCCTCTCCACTTAAGCCCCCGGCATTAGGTCCTCATTTTTCCCCTCCCTCCCCGCTGCCCCCTCCCTCATGAGCCCTTGATAGTTTATAAATTGTTATTTTGTCATATCTTGCCCTGTCTAACGTCTCCCTTCACCCACTTTTCTGTTGTCCGTCCCCCAGGGAGGAGGTCACATATAGTTCCTTGTAATCTGTTCCCTCTTTCCTACCCACTCTCCCTCTACCCTCCCTGTTTCGCCACTCACACCACTGGTCCTGTAGGGCTCATCCGCCCTGGATTAAATTTTGCTTTATAAGCACAAAATAGAATCTCATTTTGTGAGCTGGACTTTGAACCTTAAAAATTGTTATATTTAAGTTAGAAGCTTATTTCTGATGGAGATCAGAATAAATAAAATTATTTTCCACTTGCTTCCTGGAGGAGATAGCCAAGGGGCCTTCCCAAAAAAGGTCTTTTCATTCTGTTTAAGCCCCTCATGTATTGTGTAAAACATTAAGTTGGCAGAAGCCCCTCATGTATTGTGTAAACATTTAGTTGGCAGCGTTGTGCAGTCGGAGTGCTCTGAAAGCTGTAAAGTAGTGGTGTGACAGAACATGAAGAGGTAACATGGCGTTGCTTGTGCAATAACGGTCTGTTTCACACTAAATAGCATCTTGGTAGCCTTAATTCTGATTCAACTTTTGCTGTAACTGAGTTCCTTTAGGAGCTCACACTGAACTATTGTACAGTGAGCAGACTGGGGTTCGTATCCATCGCATCTCCAAGAACCCTTTATGCCTGTACAGTATAATCTGTATTTCATTGTGGTTAGTTGCTAATGATAGCTCAATAAATAGTTTAGTGACCCGGGTTTTGTGTGAAATTAAGTACTCACTAATGATCAATCATAAAGAACTTTTTACAGTGTGGTGGGGATAATAATCCCCATATTTTCACCTGTAGCGAGGAGGCGGGATCTCACCATCAATGTGCCTGGTTCTGTTGTCACAGTTCCTTCAGAGGAGATCCTGGGTCTTGGGTGTGCCCATCTCATCTGTTTACTGTCAGCAAGCTCAGTCATACTTGCTATTATGAGGAATATCCTTGCGACTGAGTCTAGTAAAGACAATAAAGCCAGAAACTGGGGTTAACATCTTAGAATAAGCCTAGATGTAAGTACTCATGGCACTGGGGCTCAACACTGGATTGCTAACAGCAAGTTCAGTGATACATACCCACTGACCACTCCTCAGGCGCTCTGCTCCCGTAAATAATTGCATTCACAAACCCCCC